TATAATAGCGGTTAATGTTAGTTAGATTCTCACCTCCCCATGACTGTTTGCTATGTCTTTTTTATGCCTGTTATATGTGCTGCGTTTCTTCGTTCTTCAGTGTTTTGTAAGAGCAGATGTAATGTGGCTCTTCTGAATTGAGTTGTTTGGTGAATGAATGTGTTTTGTATCGATCGTCTGCTGCTTCATACAGTTGGTTTGTGGAATGGGCGTCTCCGTCTCCGTTTGAGGTGAAACGGCACATAAACTAAAGCAAACAGAAATAAACAGAAGCCTTTCCTGGAAACTGACCTTCATCGCGCCTCTCCTCGACGGGCCGCCCGGGTCGCGCCGGGAATGTTCTCATCAATTAAATGTGAACGCTGGGGTGAGCGGGACCTTCTGTTTGTGCTTTTGACAAATCAGCACATGTTTAATCTCAAGATGAGCCGCGCGGCGCTCATAAATAATGCAGGAGGGGTCCTGTGCCCACAGTCCTTCAGTGCCAGTCCACCGCCATCATCTTCATCAGCAGCATCTTCCTCATTCACAGACACACAAAATAACTTTATTTAGGACCAGTGTTTGCTCTCTGGAACTGGGTTTCACTCTTGAGTGCATGTCTGACCCCAAAAAACACCCATTTATGTCAGATGAGTTTATTTAAATCAAATGCAGGAATATCTGTCAATAATGCAATAAGATATAACACGAAAAAATTAATTTCCTACTTCTACTTAAAAACTCAAGTTTGGCTGCTGCTGTAAAAGTTTTAAGTATAATCAAATTGGCTGTACAAGTCATTTAAAACTTAAATTATATTAAACTGTTTCCACAAAAATATTGTTCAGCACAACTGTTTTCAACATTGATGTTTAAACTGTAAAAATATTTCCAAATTTTGACTGCATTTTTGATCAAATAAATGCAACCTTGGTGAGCAGAAGAGACTCAGAGTTTCTCTTGCAGGTGCTAATAAAGTCACCATTCAACTGGCACGCAACACATTTACTCGCCAAGCCTGTTTTTACTGTGGGTCGGATCTTGGCGAGTGTTGATTTTGGACTCAGACCTTGCATATGTGTGAAGATCAGTGAAGCAGAGAGAACCTGAGAGCGTCAGATGGCCATTCAGTCCGTCTCTAACCAGTTCTATTGTGCTCTTTTCTTGCTTCCTAACTGTATTCTCTGAGCGTTTGTATTTGCTGATGCCGGGACGTCCGTCTCCCATGACTCCTGAGCGTCTCTCCGCGTCTTTAGACACTATTGAGAGCTTTAGCCCACAGTTTTGGGCCGCTGCATTGAGCCCTGAGCGGACAGGAAGCAGGTTTCGCTCTTTTTAGTCCAACTTGAGGACTGGAGGTGCAAAAGCCCCTCAGAAAAGCAGTTAGTGAACTGTGAACCGCATCAAATCCCCGGCGCCTTACGCCTGCGGGCTCCGTTTGTTTGGGCTGTCGACAGACACATAAACCGTCTGATTGTTCAGTAAAAATTAAGAATATAATCCTATTGAAGTAAATCTTTGGTCATGCTAAACTCTGACTGTGCTGCTTTGAGCGGCTCAGATCGAGCGCTTTGACAGAATCGGCTCTGGCTATAATTTACATGTTATATTTGAGCGCCGTGAACTCGTTACATAAGAAAAGAGGCCTTTCCTTCATATTCATAAGAGCAAGTTTGTGCTCTTTTGTGGTGTTGGGTTTTACATAAATGCATAAAGTTATGAAACACGACTGACGTCACTTGATATTCTGCGAACCGTATCTGCTGAGAAATCTCACTACAATGATGCATTATTGACCCAACAGTAATAAAAGTGCTAATTTCAGCTGGTTTTAGATGTATTTGCTACTTTACTAAGCAGTGGTCGACCGATATGGACTTTTTTTAATGCTGATATCTTTGGCAGTATATATATACAGTATATGACTTCAGAATATTTAATTAAAAAAATAGTAAAAATGCATACATCATTTCTGAAATTAAATCAAAATAGATTTAATATGATGTATTTAGTACTTTACTAAGTAGTGGTCGACCAATATGGGTTTTTTGTTGCCGATATCTTGGCGGCCGATATAAAGCTGATATATATGATATCACAATATTTAATTAAAAAAAATGTAAAACACATGCATAACATTTGCTGAAATTAAATCAATTTAAAAAAAGATTTAATTAGATGTATTTAGATGCATTTTTGATACTTTACTAAGTAGTGGTTGACTGATATGGGTTTTTTGTTGCCGATATCTTGGCAGCCAATGGCAGTATAAAGCCGATATATGAGATCACAATATTTAATAAAAAAAAACAAACACATGCATTACATTTGCTAAAATTATATCTATTTCAAAATTGATTTATTTAGATGTATTTTTGATACTTTACAAAGTAGTGGTTAACCGATGTGGATTTTCTTTTATGGATGATATCTAATGGCCGATGACCGATATATATATATATCACAATATTTTATCTAAAAATTGTAAAAAAAAAAGGTTTGCATAACAATTGCTGAAATTCAATCAAAACAGATGAAATATGACGTGTTTAGATGTATTTGGTACTTAGTGGTCGACCGATATGGATTTTTTGATGGCCGATATCTTGGCACCTGGTGGATGATACATATATAATATCTCAATATTTAATTTAAAAATAGTAAAACACATGCCAAACAGTTGCTGAAATGAAATATATTTTAAAATAAATTAATTGGAGGTACTTAGAGGTTTTTTCTACATTACTAAATATTGGTCAGCTGATATTGTTTTTTTTTTGATGACTGATATCTTGGCGGCTGATAACCGATATAAAGCCGATATATATGGTATCACAATATTTAATGTAAAAACACATGCATAATTTCTGAAATGAAATATATTTCAAAATAATGCTTCCGATATATAAGCCAAACCGATAATAAAAATGCCGATATATCGGCAAACCCCAATTTTCACAAAACAGGTGAAGAAATCCCACAGATGCACATCTGCAGACCAGAAAAGCCACACCTTTGAGTTTCCATGTTGAGTAATGTCTCTCTCTTTGTCTTTCAGGCACTGGGATGTTGCTACTTCATCCACGAATCCTTGAAAAATATCCAGCAGTTTGATTTCAAAGGTACGCGTGTCCCTTTAATACGGCGTGCCATCAATCCCATCAGATCCGGCGCGGTCAAGGTTGTTTCAGAAGCCATAAAACATGCTAAAATGGAGTTACCGATAGGAAACAGTAATGCTTATTAATATTAGGATTTAATTCATGAGATTTCAGCCTGTGGTAATAGTGCACTCAAGCTATTGGACAGTTAGCGGTGACCTCATCAGCGGTAGGGGTCAGAGGTCGCGTGTCCCGACGGTCACACTAATTAAAGCCACTCCCATTACAGCGGTGTGAGCATTAGCCTGCGCCGGACCCTTCAGCCCCGCTCAAACCCGGAGCTCTTAAAGACCACGATATCTCCCACATGATGGCCGTAATCACGCTCTCCATCGAACTCACAAAACCTGAATGAATCATATTTCACCGCAAAACCACAAGACAGGAAAATAAGAGCACGTTTCAAGAAAAAGAACAGTGAAAAAGAAGTGTTTTCCAGTGTGGCATTATTTTTTACAGCGACGTGCATTTCCACAAAAAAAGAAAGTATTTAAACAGGCTAGTAATTAATTAATTTATGCTGATTTATTTATGAGTAATTAATTTATGCTGATATAAAGGTAAAAAATTATTATTATAGTAAAAATGACTATGGTGTTAATCACACAAAAACTCAAAAGTAAATTCAAGTAAAGCATCCAGATGCATTATAGCCATGAGATTTTATGTAGTTAAAAATAAAATAAAACATAAATAAATAAATAAATATAATGTATAATATATTTAAGGTTTATTACCTTAAAATGATAGTTTTTTTTTTTTCAAATATAATTTTAATGCATTTAAGCACTTTTTTCTTTTTCATTTTGGTTTTATATTTATTTAAATTATGCTGATATAAATGTAAATAAAAATATAATTTTTATACTTAAAATAGACTAGATTTTCTTTGAGTGTAATGAGAATTACACAAAAACTCAAAAGTAAATTCAAGTAAAGCATCTAGATGCATTATAGACATGAGATTTTATGTAGTTAAAATTAAAAATAAAATAAAACATAAATAAATAAAAACAAACAAATAAATAAATAATTAAATAATATGCATATATTTTTAATTACCTTAAAATTATTATTATTTTTTTTATTTATAAATTTAATGCATTTAAGCACTTTTTTTTCTTTTTCCTTTTGGTTTTATATTTGTGTAAATTATGCTGATGTAAATGTAATAATTTTTATACTTAAAAAAGGCTATATTTTTGTAATGGTAATCATCTTTCGGTGTCATGAGAATTAGACAAAAACTCAAGAGTAAATTGTGGTTCGTGTGTGTGAGCAGTAGGTGGCGCAGTTGCCCTGATCTCTCGGACTCTAATAAGAGTCTCTGAACATGTTTGCATGTTAATCAGTGCTGTTTTATTCCTCCTCGTTTTCCTTCACGCAGCCAAGAAGTTCAGGAAGGTGTTTGGGAAGGAGGTGTGTTCGGACGCTCTTCTGAGCGCAGCCACGCTGGAGAAAGAGAAGTTTCCTCAAGACTATTTCCCTGAGGTGCGTCTGCTCCTTCTGAATAACTTCAGAGATGTCTGCTTCAGTCACATTTCCTCAGATTTCAGGTTCATATTGAGAGGAAAGCGTCTCTCTGATGTCCAGATGAGCGCTTGACTGATTCGATCTTAAATCAGGAATATGACATCCCTGCTTAATTTGGATCGCAGTATTGTTAATTTGAATAATTAAAAAATAAGTAACTTAAGTAATAAGTAACAATAATTAACAATAAAATAAAAAATAATGTATTTAAAGGGGACATGATAAGGATTTTTTTATTAGTTTAATATGTTCCTTGAGCTTTACTTACTGTGTAATATTAATAACGTTTTTTGCACACAAAAAACCCCCCAAAACAACAAATAAATATGTGGAAAAAAGAAAACAAGCAGCTTTGTCATAATCATGGCTGAAACACTAGATGAAATATCCAATAATGAGGGCCTTTGAATTTCATTTCAGCTGTTTTTACTGTAATTTAAGCATATTTTATACATATACACTACCGGTCAAAAATGTTTTTTACAGGAGTTTCTTCTGCTCATCAAGGCTGCATTTATTTGATCAGAAATACAGGAAGAAATGTAATATTGTGAAATATTATTATGATGTAAAATAACGTTTTTCTATTTTAATATACATTAAACTGTAATGTTTCTAACAATATACACTACGGTTCAAAAAGTTTGGGGTCAGTAAATGTTTATTCTTTATTTTTTTGAAAGAAATTAAAACTTTTTTTCAGCAAGGATGTGTTCAATTAATAAGAAGTGATAGCAAAGATTTATATTGTTAGAAAAGATTTATATTTTGAATTCTGTATTTTTGATCAAATAAATGCAGCCGTGATGAGCAGAAGAGACTTCTTTAAAAACATTACAAGTCTTACTGATCCCAAACTTTTGACCAGCAGTGTACATCTGCATTATATTGACTTTTAAGATGTTTGAAGCATTCAGATTAATGGAGTATTGGAGCAATTAGTTTTATGCACAGAAATTCCATAAATTTTTCTATTTTCTATTAGATTTTTCTCATTTTGAATCGATCTTCATTTGTGCTGTTTTCAGTTGTTAATTTGTAGCACCTGCCATCCAATAATTGCAATAAGCTTCGTGCTTTGTTTTGATATTAAAAGCATTCAAACTTTGTCAATTTTAGGGCTAAATGTTTTTATACAGCTCATTTGAGTTCTGATTATTAAATAAATGTGATGAATGAATTAACTATTAAATAAACCTTGTTTCTGGTTTCCATTTTTGACTAAATGAAAACTGTAATTTGGGTTGTTTTGATAAAAAATAATTGTGGTGCATCAATTTTTTTTTTTCCCCTTTGGTTTCTTAAATGTTTTGCTACAGCTCATTGATAATTGTTGATTATTGCATACAGTAAATGTGACTGAAGTTGGGTTTGGCTTGTTTGGGTGAAGGTTGTATTTGGAGCATGTTAGTTTGTGGATGTGGTGACGCTTGAGCGGTGTGATTTACTGCAGGCCGTGTTTCATATCTGTGCTCTTTAGGGCTGATGCACTAATAAAGCGCTCGTGTCTGCCGGATCCGCGGCTCCCATCCGTCTCCCACGCTCCGGCAAACAGCGGCCCGTAAATGCATGCAAAAACCTGGCGCTGGCCTTTCACGCTCCGCTACGATCTCCAGCGCTTTCACAAACAACACGCTTCCTCCTGATGAGAAAACAATGACGTTTGCAGAAGCGCCGCACCTTCGGAGCACAGAGGAAACAGAAAGAGAAAAGTTTGCGATGTATTGATTTACGCGCTCATGAATCTCCGGAGAGCAGCGCTCCACATAATGCCGGGCCGTTTAAAGCAGCAGATTTGTGTAGTCTATCAAGGGCTTTCTCAGTAGTGAGAAATTGCTTGTTATCGTAGATCACAGATACGGCTCCAACCTCTTATGAAAGATGAATTAATTTCACTAATGCTTTAATGCAGGTTTCTCGTGAGGCTGGCGATAACCTCGGCTTCATCCTGTGATTTATGCCGTCTTTTAGTAGATGAAACCGCTCGGATTCGCCATCCATCTGCCTCCCTGAAGAATCCTATTACGCAGCGCTGCTGGGACACTTTGGGCTGCTGCTCGCGTGTTTCAGCGCTGTTAGCGATCTGTTATCACACGGCCAAACCCCTGCAGTGATGTTTGATCTGAAAAACCCTTCCTACACTATTGAGCAAACAGCTTGTCGTTTTCTAATCAGGGTCTCTGAGGGTCTTAATAAGTCTTAATTCACTATTCCACCGATTAAAGCCCAGCAGAAAGTCTTAAATTCATGTTGCATCCTTAAATCGAGATACATTTAGTTGAGATGCAAAATGAAGATTCAAAACAAAACAAAACAAAAAATGCCTTCAGCTGGTGGAAAGGTCACTACAATAAAAATCTGAACATCCTTAAATCAAGATACAATTATTGGAGATTGAAAATTAACATAAAATTAAATATTCACTTTAAATATGGACAGGAAGCACTAAATATCTGCAGGTGGTGGACGAGTCACTGCAATAAAATATGATTAAATTAGACAACATAAAATAACATTGTAAAAGACTAAAAGTGCTAAAATTGTGAAATAATTATTATAAAGCGCAGAGTTCCGGTGCTTGATTCTGATTGGCTGAGCCGCGTTCAAAGCTGTTGTAAATGACTCTACAAAGTAACATACACCTTTGTTTACATTTGTGTGTTGCTCGGCAACCACTTTATTGCAACCACAACTGTTTCTGAGGAACTACATTGTTTGGCGGAAGAATACTGTTTTTATTAGTATCATTACACTTTAATTGCACTGTTTTATTTTGTGAAACCTTATTACGTATATGGAATAACCGTTTTGTAAAAGCAATAAGCCCCGTGAAGCCGTGGTTTACAGTGAATTTATAACAGCTAAGGGGGTTTAGCTCCGCTTCGCATCGTGCCTAACAACACCCCTCAGCTGTTATAAATTCACTGTAAACCACGGCTTCACGGGGCTTATTGCTTTATTTTATATGTACTGTATATGCAAAAAGTTAAATGCATTAAAGATGGCATGCACTGCAAAAAAATCATATAAATAAAAATAAATATAAATAAATTCTTCCTCAGTATTTTTGACATTTGCACTGGAAAACGAGACAAAAAAACGTATTTGCAGTGCAATCGGAAGTACATAAAAGTTATTTACATAGATATTCCAGACAGTTAAAAAGTAACGGAGATCTGTTGGAAGTAGTTTTGTTCTTTGAATAGAAGGCACTTATATCTGGAGTTCCTCTCTTCTTCTGCTCTGTGTTCTCGAGCCGCTTCATCGATAAACCGTCAGTCTGTCAGACGTCTCGATGACATCACCTGCACTCCGCCTTTGATTGACAGCCGGCGGTTTCCCCAGCAGCCAATCAGAGCGAGGCAGCTGTGATCGATGTGTGTTTGTACCCTTGACTCCGCAGAAGCTGCTCTTCTCTGGGCCTGTGTAATGAGCGCGTGACCCGTCTCCTCTTTAGGGCCCCTATGTGAGTTATGGCTTGAGTGCTGCTCCAGCCAGCGGCACAGTATTAATTGAAACGCTGGATAAGAGAGAAGCGGACCGAACAACAGACGCTGCTTGTGGAAGGTCGAGCTGATGTGGCTGCGTTTAATCTGCAGGCTTGATGATCTGTGTGAGAGACTCTGTGTTTGATTGCAGAGCAGTGACAGAGAACATTTACAGAGTCACTGGATTTAAACTGAGCTCAGATCTCTGTGTGAACAGGTTTCAGTCCACTTTCCATTTGCATAGTTGATTATTTATATTTATTTTAAATTCTTGTTTTATTGTATTTTGAATTTAATCTTATTTTATTGGTTAATTTTATTTACTCTTATTTTATAAGGTTATTTTAAAACAGCATGATTTAATTTAATTATTTTATTTTAACTAATTTAATCTTGTTTTATTATAATGTAATGTATCATTTTTATTTTTATTTATTTCTTGTTTTTTATTTGTCTTATTTTATAATAATATAATTTATTTTGTTTTACTAATCTTATTTTATCTTGTTTTATTATATTATTTTATTTTGACTAATTTATTTGATGTTTTTATTATAATATAATATTATTTTACAATTTTTATAAAAATTTTAACTAGGTTTTGTCAATGTAATATAGAATTTTATTTTATTTTTTGTTTTTTATTTTGTTTCTTATTTATAATATAATTTAATTTAATTACTTATTTTATTATAATAATAATAATGTTTTTCTTTTATTTTAAATAATTGAATTTTATTTTATTACAATATTATATTATTTTTATTTTATTTGTCCTGTTTTAATCCTTATCTTATTTTCTAATATTATGATAATATTTTATTTTGTTTTGTTTATTATGATCTAATTTTGTCTTGTGTTATTATAATTCATAAATATAATTCAGCTTATAATATTGCATAATAGTATAATACAGTAATATATTTTTGTTGTAATTTGTTCGCTTTGACAGTTGAGTTAGACCTTAAATAATGTATTTTTCATGCATGAAATTGAAAGCAAACCTTTCAGTTCAGTCTGATTTGTGTTATTTTTATCCCTCACATGATTGTGATTCACTTCTAGCCCCCTGAATGTGAAATGTGTCTGATGTGTTGTGTTGAGACGGAGGGGTGTTTCAGCGCGGCTCTTCATCAGTCACGGCTGCTGTTTATCAGTGACTGAAGGTCAGTGGATCCGTGACGAGGCTGGATCGGAGATGAGATTATGTGCTGCCTGTTCTCCTCGCCGCTGACGAGCGTTCATCTCTGTCACTGACCCGACCCGACCGGACCGGATCCGGCTTTCTGCCCACATTTAAAGGAATACTTCACTTTTGTTATACGTTATGCTATTTTATTTTGTCTAGCTCAATCGTATTTTATTGCACTGACCTGTCCAATGGCTGCAGATATTTTGAGTTTTCTGTCCATATTTAAAGGAATATTTTATTTTATTTTATTAATTAATTAATTAATTTTTTTATTTATTTTTTATTTTAGTAGTATAATTTTATTGTATTATTTATTATTTCAATTTAATGTTTTTTTTTATTTGATCTTATGTAATTTAATCTAATGTTAT